ATATATATATATAAACATATATATGTATAAATATATATATGTATATATATATATGTATATATATATATGTATAAATATATATATGTATATATATGTATGTATATATATATGTATAAATACAAATATATATATGTATAAATATAAATATATATATATATATGTATAAATATATATATATATATATATATATATATATATATATATATATATATGAAATATTAGTGTTTAAGCCTTTTATTATATCCTTACTCTGTCCTAGACATTGAGTTCTACCTGGATTCTTCCTCTTGGAAAATTTTTTTTCTGAAAATATACATGTATGGGTATTTTTTTTTATTCATATTTTGCATATGTATGTATATTTTCCACTAATATTATATATATATATATATATATATATATATATATATATATATATATATATATCACTGCCATGAATAGACAAAATTAGTTTTATTATTAACATTCATGATAATAAAAAGTAAAAATGAAAAGCGGGCGAGCTAACCGGTTTCGTATTTCGCTCAACAGAGCTAAATAAAGTAAATTATATAATAAAAAAAGAACAATGAACAAAGTTTATTGATGGGGAAAAAATAATTAAATGGTAATTAGTTGGAGGCCTAATATAAAGTCCTTCTGTTTACAAAGAGAAGTCTTTAATGGTAGAATATAAATGGCCTCCAACACTTTTAGGTGTTCATTTGAGTGGGACATACTAAGGATGGTAAAAGCGTCCGCACTAAAATTAACGAAGCACAATTATGGCTATTTATAAGGTGTTCTGCGATGGAAGACCCATACGTATCGGTCAGAATGTCCGAGGGAGTGTACTTCCGGTTTCGGATTTTCGCTGGAACGTGTTGTTTTAATCTAGCTGGAACGCGTTGTTTTTATTCTATGGGTTTTCCATCGCAGAACATATATATATATATATATGTGTGTGTGTGTGTGTGTGTGTGTGTGTGTGTGTGTGTGTGTGTGTGTGTATTTATGTATATATGTACATATATATATGTTCATAATAAAAACATCCCAAAATTAATAAAAACACCCTAAAATTAATAAAAACACCCTAAAATTAAGTTACAGTTACACAGATAATCTAGAAAGTATAATAAAAAAACACAATAATAAAATCCTGAATAAACCCCCATGCCAGAATAGTATTAATAAAAATCCTAAACTTAAATTAGACAAAAATAGTGAAAAATTATGTGACTGCAGAAACCCAGAAGACTGCCCATTGGAAAATATATGCCGCGTAAAATCTGTGGTATACCAATGTACTATCTCATCCATTGAGAGTCCTAACACTAATATGATATACATTGGGTCTACGAAGAATGAATTTAAAACCAGATGGAGACAGCATAAAAGCTCCTTCAACAATATTAACAAAAGAAATCAGACATCTCTATCTTAATATTTTTGGCATTTGAAGGAAATGAATAAAACACCAAAAGTAAAATGGAAAATTATAAAAAAAACTAGAACTTGTAAAACTTGGCATGACCCATGCCCTTTATGCCTACATGAAAAACTACACATTATCAAGTTTCTAAATAATGAAAATTTATTAAACAATAGACATGAGTTAACGGTTTTTTGCCGACATCATCAAATTTTCGCAATGAATAATTAGCATAAAAAACAAACAAACAATTAAATAATAAATACAAAATTTAAACTCCATAGTATAAATAAAAAGTTTAAAAGCCCTACCCAATAATAATAAAAAAAATCTTTATGAAGTCGTCAAAAAAACAAATGTTAGCTAATTATGACAGTTTTATATACACGAAACCCTTTCAGGAAAGAAAAGAAAATAAAAAAAATAAATAAATCTCCATAGACACTAAACGGTTAACCAGACTAGACGATGTCATCTTCCGCTTTAAATTTACCCTGACTTGACCTCTTTGAATGTAACTGAGATATTGATACAAATAAACCCTTACGCCCCCTTTTTTTTAAATAATTGCTCTTGCCGTTACCATAGTAATTTTAATTTTAATAGTGAATATGCTTATAAAAACGCGGAAATTTCAAGAATTAGTTATTCCAAAAATTTCACTTCAAGATGGAACAGAGCTTGGTACTTTAATTCAATTTAATTCAAATAATTATATTGAAGTTTTCGGCTTTTGTTTTGAAACATGAGAATGCTTATGTAGCGAAAGAATCATTTTTAAATAATTAATTATATGTTTATATATATATTATAAACATATAATTAATTATTTAAAAACTACCCTGGGTACATGGCAGCAGCCCAAAAAAATTGGGATAGGCGGGTACAAGAGGAGGAGGAGAACAAAACTCAGAAGACAGTCTGCCTGCCTTATGTGAAGGGGGTTTCAGAGAAAATACAAAGGATCTGCGGTCCATATAACATCAGGACAACCTTCAAAAGCTTGACGACACTGCGCAGATATCTCTCCCGAGGGAGACCCCCCCACCACCACCACAGAGAGGAACATGACTAAAGACTGTGTGTACGCTATCCCGTGCAGCTGCGGAAAGGAATATAAAGGAGAGACAGGCCGCCCCTCAAGGTAAGGCTTCAAGAACACCAGGAAGCTGTAACACGAGGGGAAGTAGAAAAATCAGGCGTGGCTGACCACATATGGAGAGAGAAGGGAGATCACCGCCCTCTGTGGGATCATGTTGATATCATTGACAAAGAACACCATTGGAAAATTCGTAAACTTAAAGAACCAGCACATATGCTAGGCCACAAAAATCTCCTGGGCTGACCAAGCATAGAAATAAATACAATATGGGAACCAGTAATAAGGAGTGCCAGAGAAAAGCAATGATAACAATATAGTTGCAATAGTAGCTATGGTTGCTGAAGAGATTAGGTTTATAATACCCAGAAATTCATACCCAGATGTATAGGACACATGGCACAGTGGATAAAGGCGTTGGTTAAATCAAGTGACAGTACCCAAAGAGTGTGAGTTCAATATATTTCAGAGGCAAAATTAACAGGAAATAACCATCAACCACATGGCACGTGGAGCTAGAACAGTCTACCCCAGTAAGCGAAATAAAGGGTTCAGTTCGACATTCCAAACAACTGAAGAAGGGCCGAGACGTTGTGATAAATATGGCGACAAAGATGAGGACAATAGTCCGAATTATGTAAATAATGTATATATATATATATATATATATATATATATATACATATATATATATGTTTATACATATATATATATGTTTATATATATGCATCTATATATGTTTATATATGTATACATATATATTTGTTTATATATATATACACATATATATATGATTATATATATATATGGTAATGAAGAAAAATTTGGAAAAAACAAACAAAAATCCTTACATGCAATTATGTTGTTTAAAATGAATGAAATGTCGACGTCTGACGTTTCGGTTTAATAAACCTTCTTCAGGACAATATTCATTAAAATACAATTCAGTTCAATTTGACAAAGACGATGGACATAAAAACAAGTCTTATCCAAAACAGATAACTGAAAATTTTTAAAATAATCAGCTTTCCGTTTAGCATGTTCACGTTGTCGTCACAGTTATCTGTTTTCCAAATTTTTCTTCATTCTGTCGGATCTATATCCATTTACATTTGCTTACATATATGGTAATATATATATATATATATATATATATATTTGTTTATATATATATATGTTTATATATACATATATATATATATATGATCATATATTTATATGATTATATACAAATATATGTTTATATACATTTATATATGTTTTATATATATATGTTTATATACATATATATATATATTTTACATATATATATTTTTATATATATATATATATATATATATATATATATATATATATATATATATATATATTATATATATATATATATATATATGTCTCTTTCTGTCTCTCTCTCTCTCTCTCTATATATATATATATATATATACATATATGATTATATAGAGAGGCAGGGATAAAAAAGAGAGGGGTCTATATTGATATCTATAGTGATATATATATATATATAGAGAGAGAGAGATATATATATATATATATATATATATATATATATATATATATATATAGTGATAAATAAATATAGATAAAAACTTTGATACGTATACAGAAAGGAAGATATAGATCTTTATATATATATATATATACAGAGCTATAGAGATTTATAAATATATATATATGTAAAGACATTTATATAAGTATAAAAGACATATATATTGAGTGAGAGAGAGAGAGAGAGAGAAAGGAAGGAAGATAGATGAATAGAGAATGACATGTATTTAGTGACTGGAAGATGACATTCTCATCATTATATATATATATATATATATATATATATATATATATATATATATATATATATAATATGAGTTTGGAACAGACGGAGAATTTTATATATAAAATATGACAATAGGAAAATTTTGGATACAAATGTATGACAAAAAGAAAGAATAAAAGCTTTCTGCGAAGAAATATCCTTCAATGGCTGTTTATTTATTTAATAGCCAAAACGAAATCTTGGTTTATAATAAATGCAGAGGCGTTTTTCTGGAACTGATGGACGCGTCAGAAAATACAAAACACGACAATAACATGAATTTCGCCGATTCTGGCGCATTTCTTGCTTGGTTAAAATCCAAAACCCAAAAACCATCGATTGGACATGAGACGCGATTTCCAAATCAGGATGGCACAGCCAGTCCACCTACGCAGTTGTATCGTGTGGCCTCTACTCTTCGCTCTCTGTTGAGTTCATTTGATGCAAATCTCCACTCCCCAAAGAAAAGGCCGACTTATTTTTCAAAGTCCTGAGCAGGAAGCAGAACGCCATTTGTAAACATGGCGGAGTAATCTTTGCATCCGATCAGACTGAAGGCGATCTCGATATATAAAAACAAGTAACAGAATAGAATGAGAAACAATGAGGAGAAAGAAAAAGAATACACTGGAGAGCCAGTATGTGGACGGTGGGGTTCAGTGGTAGAGAAACGAACAGAGAGAGGGGGTCGATGGAAGAGAAAAAGGAACTGAGAGAGATGAGCCATGAAGAGGAGGGGGTGAAGGAAGAGAGAGTGAGAGAGGGGTTGGATAGAAGAGAAAGATTGAGTGAGGTGGATATTGGAAGAGAGAGAGGCGGACCAGATGGACGCGGAGAGGGGGTTCGATGGAAGAGAAAGGAACTGAGTGAGGCGGGCAATGAAGAGGAGAGACTTCGATGAAAGTCAGAAGGGAAGGATGGAAGCAGAGAGGGGGTTTGATGAAAGAGAAAGAGGGGCTGAGAGAGGGAGTTGGATTGAAGAGAAAGAGGGAGTGAGAGAGGCGAAAAATGGAAAAGAGAGAAGCCGAATAGATGGAAGGTAAGAGGAGTTCGATGGAAGAGAAAGTGGGGCTGAGAGAAGATGGAAATGGAAAGGGTTTAATGAAAGAGAGAAGGGAGGATGGAAGCGGAGAGAGGGTTGGATGGAAGAGAAAGAGGGGCTGAGAGAGGGGGTTGGTGAAAGAGAGAGGCAGGAAATGGAAGAGAAAGAAGCGGGTAGATGGAAACTGAGAGGGGTTATATGGAAGAGAAAGGTACTAAAAAAGGAGGTTGATGGGAGAGAAAGAGGACCTGAGAGATGGTGTCGATGGAAGAGAAAAAGGAACTGAGAGACGGATATCAATGGAAGAGAGAGGCGGAGTCGATAAAAGCGAAAGAGTGGTTGAGAGATTATGTCAAAATGGAAACCCAATTTATATTGGAACGAAGGGTACAAGTGTATGAGAGTGAGAGATAGAAATTCCAAAAGAAGCACGCAATTAGAGAGGGGTTGTACAAGTTAGTTTGTGAGAGAGAAAGAGAAAATGGCTGCCAATGTAAGTGGGAGTAAAAAACAATGGCATAATACTGAAAGGAACATGAGATGCTACACCAATTTTACACAAAGACCAATTTTTATTTAGAACCCAATAATGATTGAAGACATAAGCAATGACCTAGAATATTAAAGGGGCTTACTATCATTATATGAAAGGCATTCCATTGATACCAGATGGGGAATTAAACAAACTTGTAAGCCATTTATAGTAAGTTATCTAAAAGCTAGAATATAGCGAAGACAATGAGAAACTAACCCAGAGGGTTTCACAAGAACAGTCATGGTAATACACAATTTACTTATATTAAAAGGAAGTGTATGGTTTTAAAAAGTGCTCTGCAAGTTAAGTGTTGAAGCTTGGATAAGCATGGAATAATAATAATACAACACAAAATGTACGTAAACAAAATGTATTGAAACAAGGAAAAGGTACACAATATTTACAGTTAGTTTTGGTATATTCTTGGGAAGACTGTTCCTGTAGAATGGGTTGACTTAATCGCAGTCGGGCAGAGTCTCTGGATTGGATCTCTTCTTACTTCCCTCACTCGTCTTCCCGGTACCAACCCATATTTATATGGTCGGTACTCCACTATGTAAATTAGGTGGATCGTACCACAACATTAATCTTGTTAAGGCTCTATGGAGATTTATCTATAATAACCCGAATTGGTCTAGATAGATATTACAATAGATACATAAATATTACACAAGATAGATATTACAGCACAGATAGATATTTCAAGAAATAGACATTGCAAGACACAAATAAATATTACGGCACATAGATATTACAGGACATAGACAAAAACTGACGTAGATAGATAGGGATGTTCCAAGTGTAGCTTAAATATGGTAAAAGGCTGAAACTATGAAGCACCCAGTGAGGATCTAACTCCCTAGTCAATCGTAATTGATATAACGAGACAAGCTTACTAACCATTAAACCACGCTAACGTGCTCAGACATGGATGGACAATTAGATACAGACCTAGAGAGATAAGTAGAATAGATATTAGCTAGATAGAGTAGATATATACAAACAGGCATGAATAGATATATACACAGACAGAACAGATATATACGAACAGGATTAGATAGATAGATAGATATGAACAGGATTGGATAGATAGATAGATAGATAGATAGATAGATAGATAGATAGATAGATAGATATGAACAGGATTAGACAGATAGAAACAGGGATAAATAGATAGATCATAACGGCTTGGCTTCGCAAAACAAAGACCAAGAGGGAGTCTGTACACGTCGCGTGCAGGAACGTTTGTCCAATACGGGACAGGCAAACACAGTCGCAGCTGAAAGTTCATCCTAGGCGCGATGCCATATCGTTGCAGTACATCCTCCTCCGCCTCTTGTCTCTGAGAGCGGCCCTGCAGGTATTTTCAAAGAAGGATACAGCATGGTTGGTGGTAAAACGCCAGGCGTCACGGTTCGGATACGAACAGGCATAGATAGATAGATAGAAACAGGCATATATAGATAGAGACGAACAGACATATATGGATAGATAGATACGAAAAGGCATATATAGATATAGATACGAACAGTCATATATATATATATATATATATATATATATATATATATATATATATATATATATAGGTAACTACACTCGTCTCGGAAAACCTTCGGTTTCTTGATTTGCTAATGGTCAAATCAATCTCGAAGGAAAAAAAGGTTTTTAAAAAAAGAAAGAGCTATGAACATAAACGTCTGTCGAAAATAATCGTAAAGCATACAGGTCCAAAGCCCAAAGAAAAAAGCTCCGATACCAGTAATCAACTAACTAAAAAAGTGCTCAATACAAAAGTAGAGCAGACCTAGTTAAACTTAGAGAGCCAGACAAAACCTAACAAGGTTTCACCTAAGCGGATCGTCAGGGAAAGCTGGAGATAGATAGATAGATAGATAGATAGATAGATAGATAGATAGATAGATCCAGCTTTCCTGACGATCCGTTTAGATGAAACCTTGTAGGTTTTAATTGTCTAGGTTTGACTATATATATATATATATATATATATATATATATATATATATATATATATAATAGATAGATATGAACAGGCTTATATAGATAAATTCATAGATAGATATGAGCAAGCATAGATAGATTGATGTGAGCAGGGATAGATAGATAGAGCCAGCTTTCCCTGACGATTCGCTTAGGTGAAACATTGGTAGGTTTTGTCTGGCTCTCTAGGTTTGACTATATATATATATATATATATATATATATATAGTGTAACCCGGATATAAGAGACCCGGATATAAGAGAAACCCGGATATAAAGAGATTTTCTCTTGTCCCAAATTAGAGCCTCTGTTAATGTATATAAATTAGACCAAACCTGGATATAAGATAAACCCGGATATAAGAGACTTCTTCTCCGGTTCCGACAACTCTTATATCTGGGTTATCTCATATATATATATATATATATATATATATATATATATATATATATATATATATAATAATACGAACAGGCTTATATAGATAGATAAATTCATAGATAGATATGAGCAAGCATAGATAGATTGATGCGAGCAGGGATAGATAGATAGATAGATAGATAGATAGATAGATAGATAGATAGATAGATATGAAGAGGCATAGATATGAAAAGTCTGTGAGATAAATGTGCACTAATGCTGAATTACCGTTTGTTCTTTGAAGCCAGAAAATAAAAAAAAAACAAGTCCAATAGCAAAGTGTTCTTCCAGCTGGCCAGTTATTCTTTTCGCTAAATGATAATAACATTTGCAGCTTGCAACCACACATCACTTCCTCCCTAGACGGAACATGACAATGACAAAGACTTTATTATAACGTGTGGTCATTTTCGTGCCTTTTTGACAGAAGTTCGCGCGGAAATTCTCCTCTAATTACAAGGCCTAATGACATCGCAGTCAAAAGCAACGCTGATACATTGTCTCGGTCACTTGATTTTATTATCAATTCAAATAAAACAAAATGTGTAAAAGGCATCTGCGTGTGTGAATTTAACTTCGATATCTAACATCTAATTATCCATAAACTGTTAACTTTCCTTCTATTGTTCATATCTCTCCACATAATTATATATGTGTGTCTTTGTATAATCTACACATGTTTATGTCTTTTTAAATTAACTGCTTTGTTTCTTTCTCTCCGCCTTTTGTTTCTTTCTTTCGGCTTTTCGTTTCTTTTCTTTCTCTTTTCCGTTTCTTTTTTCTGTTTTTCGTTTCTTTCTTTCTGCCTTTCACTTCTTTTTATGTCTTTCATTTCTTTTTCTCTGTCTTTCCTTTCTTTGTTTTTCGTTTCGTTTCTTTCCGTCTTTCGTTTCTTTCACTCTGTTTTCGTTTCGTTTCTTTTCGTCTTTCGTTTCTTTTCGTCTTTCGTTTCTTTTCGTCTTTCGTTTCTTTTCGTCTTTCGTTTCTTTCCCTGTCTTTTCTTTCTTTCTCTCCGTCTTCCGTTTTGTTTCTTTCCCTCTGTCTTTCGTTTCGTTTCTTTCCCTCTGTCGTTCGTTTCGTTTCTTTCTCTCTCTCTCTTTCGTTTTGTTTCTTTCCCTCTGTCTTTCGTTCCTTTCTCTCTGTTTTTCGTTTTGTTTCTTTCTCTGTGTCTTTTGTTTCGTTTCTTTCTCTCTGTTTTTCATTCCGTTTTGTTTTCTTTCTGCTTTTCCTTTCGTTCTCTCTCTCTCTCTCTCTCTCTCTCTCTCTCTCTCTCTCTCTCTCTCTCTTTAGTTTCGTTTCTTTCACTGTCTTTCGTTTCTTTCACTCTGTTTTTCGTTTCGTTTCTTTTCGTCTTTCGTTTTTTTTTTTTTTTTTTTCGCTGGCTTTCGTTTCTTTCTCTCCGTCTTTCGTTTTGTTTCTTTTCCTGTTTTTCGTTTCGTTTCTTTCCCTCTGTCTTTCTTTTCGTTTCTTTCTCTCTGTCTTTGGTTTCTTTCCCTGTCTTTCCTTTCTTTCTCTCTGTTTGTGGTTTCGTTTCTTTCCGTCTTTCGTTTCTTTCTTTCCTTCTTTCTTTCGTTTCGTTTCTTTCTTTCCGTCTTTCGATTTGTTTCTTTCCCTCTGACTTTCGTTTCGTTTCTTTCCGTCTTTCGTTTTGTTCCTTTCCCTGTCTTTCGTTTCTTTCTCTCCGTCTTTCCTTTTGTTTCTTTTCCTGTCTTTCGTTTCGTTTCTTTCTCTCTGTCTTTCGTTTTGTTTCTTTCTCTCTGTCTTTCGTTTCTTTCTCTCTGTTTTTCGTTTCGTTTCTTTCCGTTTTTCGTTTCATTTCTTTCTCTCTGTCTTTCGTTTCGTTTCTTTCTCTCTGCCTTTCGTTTCTTTCCTTTTGCCATCCGTTTCGTTTCGTTTCGTTTCTTTCAATGTCTTTCGTCACTTTCTCTCTGTCTTTCGTTTCGTTTCTTTCTCTCTGTCTTTCGTTTCGTTTTGTTTTCCTTCTGCTTTTCCTTTCGTTCTCTCTGTCTTTCGTTTCGTTTCTTTCTTTGCGTTTAGTTTCTTTCTCTCGATCATTCGTTTCCTTCTCCCGATCATTCGTTTCCTTCTCTCGATCATTCGTTTCTTTCTTTCTGCTTTCGTTTCGTTTCTTTCAATGTCTTTCGTCTCTTTCTCTCTGTCTTTTGTTTCGTTTCTTTCTCTCTGTCTTTCGTTTCGTTTTGTTTTCTTTCTTCTTTTCCTTTCGTTCTCGCTGTGTTTCGTTTCGTTTCTTTCTTTGCGTTTAGTTTCTTTCTCTCGATCATTCGTTTCTTTCTCTTGGTCATTCTTTTCTTTCTGTCTGTCTTTTGTTTCGTTTCTTACCCTGTCTTTCCTTTCTTTCTCTTTGTTTTTCGTTTCGTTTCTTTCCGTCTTTCGTTTTGTTTCTTTCCGTCTTTCGTTTTGTTTCTTTCCCTATCTTTCGTTTTGTTTCTTTGTCTCTGTTTTTCGTTTCGTTTTGTTTCGTTTCTTTCTCTCTGTCTTTCGTTTCGTTTCTTTCACTCTGTCTTTCGTTTCTTTCTCTCTGTCTTTCGTTTTGTTTCTTTCCCTGTCTTTCGTTTCTTTCTCTGTTTTTCGTTTCGTTTCTTTCCGTCTTTCGTTTTGTTTCTTTTCCTGTCTTTCGTTTCTTTCTCTCCGTCTTTCGTTTCGTTTCTTTCTCTATCTCTTTCATTTCGTCTCTTTCTCTCTTTCGTTTCGTTTCTTTCTCTCTGGCTTTCGTTTCTTTCCTTTTGCCATCCGTTTGCTTTATTTATTTATTTCTGCTTTCGTTTCGTTTCTTTCTCTGTCTTTCGTTTTATTTCTTTCCCTGTCTTTCGTTCTTTCTCTCTGTTTTTCGTTTCGTTTCTTTCCGTCTTTCGTTTCTTTCTTTCCTTCTGTCTTTCGTTTCGTTTCTTTCTCTCTGTTTTTCGTTTTGTTTCTTTCTCTGTCTCTTTTGTTTCGTTTCTTTCTCCCTGTTTTTCATTCCGTTTTGTTTTCTTTCTGCTTTTCCTTTCGTTCTCTCTCTCTTTAATTTCGTTTCTTTCTCTCCGTCTTTCATTTCTTTCACTCTGTTTTTCGTTTCGTTTCTTTTCGTTTTTCGTTTTGTTTCTTTCGCTGGCTTTCGTTTCTTTCTCTCCGTCTTTCGTTTCGTTTCTTTCCCTGTCTTTCGTTTCGTTTCTTTCCCTCTGTCTTTCGTTTCGTTTCTTTCTCTCTGTCTTTCTTTTCGTTTCTTTATCTCTCTCTTTCGTTTTGTTTCTTTCCCTGTCTTTCGTTTCTTTCTCTCTGTTTGTGGTTTCGTTTCTTTCCCTCTTTCGTTTCTTTCTTTCCTTTTGTCTTTCGTTTCGTTTCTTTCCGTCTTAAAATTTGTTTCTTTCCCTCTGACTTTCTATTCGGTTCTTTCCCGCTGTCTTTCGTTTCGTTTCTTTCTCTCTGTCTTTCGTTTCGTTTCTTTCTCTGTCTCTTTCCTTTCGTTTCTTTCTCTCTGTCTTTCGTTTCGTTTCTTTCTCTGTCTCTTTCCTTTCGTTTCTTTCTCTCTGTCTTTCGTTTTGTTTCTTTCCTTGTCTTTCGTTTCTTTCTCTCTGTTTTTCGTTTCGTTTCTTTCCGTCATTCGTTTTGTTTCTTTTCCTGTCTTTCGTTTCTTTCTCTCTGTTTTTCGTTTCGTTTCTTTCCGTTTTTCGTTTCGTTTCTTTCTCTCTCTCTTTCGTTTCGTGTCTTTCTCTCTCTCTCTTTCGTTTCGTTTCTTTCTCTCTCTCTCTTTCGTTTTTTTCCTTCCCTCTGTCTTTCGATTCGTTTCTTTCTTTCTGTCTTTCGTTTCGTTTCTTTCTCTCTGTTTTTCATTCCGTTTTGTTTTCTTTCTGCTTTTCCTTTCGTTCTCTCTGTCTTTCGTTTCGTTTCTTTCCCTGTGTTTAGTTTCTTTCTCTCGATCCTTCGTTTCCTTCTCTCAATCTGATCTTTCTTTCCCTGTCTTTCGTTTCTTTCTCTCTGTTTTTCGTTTCGTTCCTTTCCGTTTTTCGTTTTGTTTCTTTCCCTGTCGTTCATTTCTTTCTCTCTGTTTTTCTTTTCGTTTCTTTCCATCTTTCGTTTTGTTTCTTTCCTTGTCTTTCGTTTCTTTCTCTCTGTCTTTCGTTTTGTTTCTTTCTCTCTGTTTTTCATTTCGTTTTATTTTCTTTCTGCTTTTTCTTTCGCTCTCTTTGTCTTTCGTTTCGTTTCTTTCTCTGCGTTTAGTTTCTTACTCTCGATCATTCGTTTCTTTCTCTCTGTCTTTCGTTTCGTTTCTTTCTCACTGTCTTTCGTTTCTTTCTCTCTGTTTTTCGTTTCGTTTCTTTCCGTCATTCGTTTTGTTTCTTTTCCTGTCTTTCGTTTCTTTTTCTCTGTTTTTCGTTTCGTTTCTTTCCGTTTTTCGTTTCGTTTCTTTCTCTCTCTCTTTCGTTTCGTGTCTTTCTCTCTCTCTCTCTTTCGTTTCGTTTCTTTCTCTCTCTCTCTTTCGTTTTTTTCCTTCCCTCTGTCTTTCGATTCGTTTCTTTCTTTCTGTCTTTCGTTTCGTTTCTTTCTCTCTGTTTTTCATTCCGTTTTGTTTTCTTTCTGCTTTTCCTTTCGTTCTCTCTGTCTTTCGTTTCGTTTCTTTCCCTGTGTTTAGTTTCTTTCTCTCGATCATTCGTTTCCTTCTCTCAATCTGATCTTTCTTTCCCTGTCTTTCGTTTCTTTCTCTCCGTTTTTCGTTTTGTTTCTTTCCCTGTCGTTCATTTCTTTCTCTCTGTTTTTCTTTTCGTTTCTTTCCATCTTTCGTTTTGTTTCTTTCCTTGTCTTTCGTTTCTTTCTCTCTGTCTTTCGTTTTGTTTCTTTCTCTCTGTTTTTCGTTTCGTTTTATTTTCTTTCTGCTTTTTCTTTCGCTCTCTTTGTCTTTCGTTTCGTTTCTTTCTCTGCGTTTAGTTTCTTACTCTCGATCATTCGTTTCTTTCTCTCTGTCTTTCGTTTCGTTTCTTTCTCACTGTCTTTCGTTTCTTTCTCTTTGCTTTTTTCTTCATTTTTTTTTCTGCCTTTCGTTTCGCTTTTTTTTCTCTCTGCCTTTGGTTTTTTTATGTCTTTCTATCCATCTGTAAGTTTATCTATCTCTCTTTCTGTTCATCTCTCTCCTTTCTCTTATATATATATATATATATATATATATATATATATATATATATATATATATATATATATATATTCTCCTACATTTATATTTGACATCCACAAACTCTTAACGTTCTTTGCTTGTTGATGTCGACCTCTTTCCCATAATATATCGATTTCAGTTGTTAACTATCGATCTATCAACTGTTAAATCCCTAATATATATATATATATATATATATATATATATATATGTTTCTATCTATGTGCTTAGAGAGCTGCATCAATAAGTTCGTAGCCTGACGACAAATTCAATCGCTCAATTTTATCTTAAATGTTCACTGCGTAACTTTCGAATTTTGAGGAAGCGTTAGATTTAAGGCTATTGAAAAAAGCAGAATATCTTGTTGAAAAACATCGCATAAAGTTTGTTTTCATTTTTCCATTATTAGACTATTGACTTATTGATTCGCCTACGTACGTTGTTTTGTATAAACTGGAATAGATAAAGGTCGGATTGGTTGCTCGTACGACATGTCAACCATTGTTCGCTTATTTAAAATTAACATAACCCATTATTATTATTATTATTATTGTTTTTATTTTCTTTGATTTCTGGCGTTTACACATTTCTTTCTGGATTCCGCCCAGGGACCTAAGGTTAGAAATGGCATCATGACACTTTCCACTGACAAAAAAAAAATATTACATAGATAAAGCCCTTCGTAAAGTGTGGGCTGTACTTTTTTGTATCTCTTTGAAGCATGGACTTCAAGGAATCCCTTCAATTAGTATACTGGAATCTTTTCCAACCAGACCTAGGGCTCCAACTACAACAGGGATTGTTGATGTTCCCATATGCCACATATTATTATTATTATTATTATTTGAGTCTATAAGCATTTACTTTATCGTTTGTAATTTAGTCTGTAAGGCCTTCGCTTGTTACATGCTGAGTTATAGTTAATGTATTCTACTCACGGTCGGCAGAGCTGTGAAATAGATAGCTAGATAGATATATAGATACTGGCATAGATAATCTCTCCCACCCCACACTCTCTCTCATTCGGATTATTTCATTTTCTCTCTTCCTTTCTGTGCTCACTCTTTCTTAGATTGTTCACTCTCTCTCTCTCTCTCTCTATATATATATATATATATATATATCTGCGAGATTGTTTCCCTTCTCCATCTCTCTCCACTCTCTTTCTCTGACTATTTATCCTCTCTCTCCTCTCACAGACACACATTCTCTTTGTATCTCTCTGTTGCTCCCCTCTCACGCTCTCTTGCTCTCTCACTCTCAAAACTCTTTGTTTTCTCTCTCTCTCTCTCTCTCTCTCTCTCTGACTGTTTCACCCCTGTCTTTGTCTCTCTCTCTCTCTCTCTCTCTAACGGCCTTTTCTCCTCTCTCTCTCTCTCTCTCTTTGACCGTTTCTCCTCCCTCTCTCTCTCTCTCGCTTTCTCTTTGACTTTCTCTCAGGCTCTTTATTTGTTAACCCCGCAGTTATTTATATCTGTCTCTCCAATGTCCTGTTTACTTTATTCTTTAATTCTATATTTAAACATATCGTCACCCCATAAGAATTATTCAACTTAATAGTCATAAGTAATATCCAACATTCCTGTTTAATTAGAATTTAGTGTCCCAGTTTCAGTCCTTATCAACAGCCTTCTTCCGACGATTCACAGGCTTCATAATATTATTTTTGTAAAATACTTTTAGTTTGCAAGACAAAAATGTAGAGAGAGTAGCCTCAAAATCTTCGTGTATTTCAAGAACAAGTTCGGTAAACTCCAGAACACGTAATCACATAGAGCAACATCTGGAAAATAAACGATGTAATTTTCTCCCAACCTAGATCTTCAAATATTTCAGTTATTGTGTTTGCCGTATGAGGCCTGCATTTCTTAATCAATTCAGCCCAAGCAAGGCGATAATGCCGCTAAAGGGGCTACTGTGAGTGAAATAGAATGAAAAAAAACTTTACAAAGAACCGAAAACCCAATCGTAAACAGGAAGCAAGGGATAAACCTCTACTCCTGTTCAAAAGACCGGAGAGGAGTGAAAGCCGAGCGATAGGCGAACCTATCTACTCCTATTAAAGAGAATAAAAAATAATTAAATGATTAGTAAATAAAATTTCAGGGTTTAGGTGGAGGCGTTAGAAGTATAGAGTTGAAGTAGAATTTAGAAGAGATAAACCCAATGCTAAACCGGAAACAAGGTGATAAACCTATACCCCTGTTCAAAAAACCGGGGAGGATTGTAAACTGGGCGATAGGCCAACCTATCGACTCCTATTGAAGTGAAAAAAATAACTAAACAATTAGTAAATACAATTTCAGAGTCTAGGCAAAAACTTTAGAAGTATAGTATTGAAATAGACTTAAGAAGGAACTGGAAATTCAATCTTAAAAAGGATTTTTTTAATCATTTCACCTCAAGCAAGGCGATAATGCCGCTAAGACGCAAGCGGCTACTGGAGATAAAATAGAACGAGAAGACATTAGAAAGAACCGGAAACCTAATCCTAAACAGGAAACAAGGGATAAAACTCTACTCCTGTTCAAAAGACTGGGGAAGAGTGTGAACTAGACGATAGGCGAATCTATCTACCCCTATTGAGGAGAAAAATATGTAATAAATAATTAGTAAAAAATGTTTCAGCGTTTAAACGGTGACGTCAGAAATATAGAATTGAAGTAGACTTTAAAAGGAACTGTGAGAATAAAACACAGCAGGGCAGCAAATAATAAAATAGAACCTTTTTTCATTCTCTACGGTGTTTGAAACACTGTATCCGTTGATGATAAAATGTCTTCTGTAATCGTAACATAATCAAAATGGAGCACACAATATGATCATAGACTGCACGCGACGAATTCTTTCTTCGATGGAGATCTGTTGTCAGGTTAGGCTTTAGCATGTTCGCTTCCACTCAGCCATTGTCCGCGGCGCTTTGTAATTTGGAAGAATGGCTATTTTTCGGGAGCGATGATCTGTTCAAAAATTCAAAAATACATTTACGAGGACGCGAAATATTTTAGAATGGTGAAAATATCGTTCATTCGATCGCTTTCAGATTTCAGGCATTACAGAATGATTCGCTAGCATGGAAGGCTACCATTTAGATTATTCTTAAGACAGAAAATATCATTCAATCTAAAGCTATTAGTTCAGGACATTACTTATGACATGACCTGATATTCCACTCTCTACTACTTTCGTATATATATATATATATATATATATATATATATATATATATATATATATATATATATATATATATAAATTTACTAATTTAAAAATATGCTGCCATGGCTTTTAAATCATTTTATATTTTTAAATTAGTAAATTTATAATATTTATGCTCTGTACATTTGCATGGAGCACTGTTTAGTGAAAAAATATTAATAAAAGCACGGGATTATATATCTTTATTTTATTATTATTATTATTATTATATATATATATATATATATATATATATATATATATATATATATATAATACATGCTGCAGACTTGGAGTGACTTGCTATCACTTGACCTCTAGCGAAAAACACCAGTTGTTAATGGTGTGCAAGTAATGAAAAACGAGGAATAATAAAAAATAATATAAACTTCTATTTCAAGTCGATTTCATTTCGAACGAGAGGATTATTTAAAATCAATAACAATATAATAAAAATATTTATATAATAATAATATTTAAAATCAATAATTCGATTAATCAAAATACTGGATTGAAACTTCGATCTCTATCCGGGTCAGCAATCCTGGTCATTAAGATAATGTAAGAATCAAAATCGAAAATGAAATTAAAATAATAATAATAATAAAAAAACCATCGCCAAGTAGGAGATAATTAATTGGCTAATTAAAGTTTTCCGTTACATACACACGGAAACACATATTAACAGGTTGGGATAGATATTTAGATAAAGATAGATATATATATATATATATATATATATATATATATATATATATATATATATATATATAAGATGTTTAGATAGATACAGAGTGCAGCAGAAATACCTACCACAAATACCTCCCCACGTAATAGTAAAACATTAGCTAGATAAAGACACTATTGCCACTAATGTGTTACCAATACGTGGGCGGTAATTCTGTCACATGCTGTATATAAATATTAAAAAGGAATTATTTAGATAGATATAGATATTTAAATAGATAAATAAGATAGATTATATTAAGATAGATATTAAACTAGATAGATAAATAAATATTAAGATAGATAATAAGTTAAATATTAAGATATATAGATAAATATTAAGCTAGATAGACAAATAATAAGATAGATATTAAGCTAGATAGGTAGATAGATAAATATTAAGCTAGCTGTTAGATAAATATTAAAATACATATTAAGATATTAACAGAGATATGTAGATAGATAAATAGATATTAACATAGATAAACAAAGTTGAACATATTAGGTATTAAAGGAGATAAGTAGATATTATCTGAGATATGTATATATATAAATAGATATTAACATAGATAAACAAAGTTGAACATATTAGAATTTACTTATGAAATGGAAACAAAAAATACCTTACCTTGCCTAGATATCCTGTTACCCTGTGGTGACAATCACCTAAAACTAATTATCCATCAAAAATCAAGTAGAAAAACATCTCTAAAAATATCTATTCTCACCATAAAATCCGGAATAATCATCGGATTCTATTTAAGATCACTAAGAAATTGCAGCCCTCAATATTTACATGAACTGGAGGAATAGATTAAAACTACATTCAAGTTCCAACAATACCTTACCTATTTCCAATTCGAAACAAAAGGCTCGTAAAATATTTCAAAATAAAAGTGTTGACCATTCTAACAAACCCAAAGATTCAAAACATATCATTCTACCACCAACTATATCACATCTACAATTGAAAAGAATTTATCTAAACATTACATAAAATTTGTTACATCTACTTGTAAAACAATATAAAAAATTAATTAATACAAAGCAAAAATAATAAATGCAAACTTGAAGGAAGAATTTACTCTATAGCCTGAAGTAGTGATATTTAGCTACCCCCGCCCCCCACGAGGGTTACATGTGGTACAAGGCCGGGTTTAACGTGGGATTTCCGAGCCCGTAGGCTCGGCCAAAAATATCCCCTCTTTGAACCCGCATAAACGGGTTCAGGGGCAGTCAACCACCCCGAACGAGAATCTGCCCTTCGGTGGAGCCTCATCCGGGTTCTTCTCCGCCCGAAGGCAGAGAGTTAGACTGTTAGCCAAGTTAGACAAATTATAGCCTGAAATAGTTGGCATGTATATCTGTTCGCCATGTATATATATATATATATATATATATATATATATATATATATATATATATATATATATATAGAGAGAGAGAGAGAGAGAGAGAGAGAGAGGCAGGCACAGCAGAGTAGTGGATAGCGGCTTGGCTTGAGGATTCGGAGACTCCATTACATTCACTCAGGTGCTAATACTCTTGTATTGATCCTCTTCTTCCATATATTGTCTAACTCTGAATGCAAAACCTTTGGAGGGTCGTAGTATTCGGTTCTTCAAAAAGTGTGGTTAGTTCTGCACCAATGTAATCAATTCATATACTGGTATCTGGCTGTCCGTTCCTAGAAACTGAGCTGCTTGACCCTCATATGTCGAATACGATGTGAGAGTCCACCATATACACATATATATATATAATATATATTATATATATATATATATATATATAAATTATTTATGTTAACATAAATATGTTATAAAATACTACAAAAATAGCCATTTTGTTTTAACACTTCTGGCGTCTTATCAAGTGATGGTGTTGCATGTAGAATAAAGGGTTTTAAAAGGTTCAAATTGACCAAACATCCCTCACTACGGGAAACGCTGCTACATAAGCTGGAATGACCAATCAAAATACAAGTACATGAGAATTCAAAAACCTTGAGAACGAACCTTGGTTATAATAATTAATTAATGCCTTAATGTTAGGGTTAGACTAAAATAGAAATCATTCTAATTAATATTAAATTTTACTATAAAATTAAAAATTACCAATTTTAAATTTAATCTGTATGTATGTATATATATATATATATATATATATATGTGTGTCTATCTATCTATCTATATCTATCTATCTATCTATATATATATATATATATATATATATATATATATATATATATATCCGAATTCACCAAAATAAGATATATATATCCGAATCCGACAGAATAAGATAAAGAACAAATAGGAAAGGTTTATAAATCTAACATGTTTCACTTTCCTGAAAGCTTCATCAGGGTAAGGTTTTTTTGTGGTTTGATTTTCATTGGTTAATTAGACTTCACGCACATTTGACTGGTCAAGCCGCGTTCGTGTGTATGATTTATGGGTGTAAGTGTGTCATAATTTTAGTTTGCCTATGCGAGATTCAGATAATAATCTGTTTCTTTCTCTCTCTCTCTCTCTCTCTCTCTCTCTCTCTCTCTCATATATATATATA